GAACTGTGGGTCGTGAGGCTGCAGTGGGCACAGGGGCGGGTCTCAGCCCATCCTTCGTGCCCCTGCCCGACCCCTCCCACCATGGCCCCCGGTCCCCTGTCTGCTGGTAGCCCTGCTCCCGCTGCCACCACTCTCACGCGCTGACAGTGCTGGGCCTTTCGCACCCACCGATGGCACGGAGCCATTGGGGCCGGTGCCAGCAGCACGTGTGAACAGGGCCATTGCCAACAGCAGGTGCGAGAGTTGGCCCCTATCACCCCTCAGGAGCAGGGGGAGGTGGAGAAGCCCTGAGGGGCGATCAGGGCCAGCAGCCACTGATGGCACCAAGCAATCAGGGCCCAAGTCGGGCGCCGGCATTGGGTGCGAGCAAGGCTGGTTCCGGCAACAGGTGCGAGTGCTGGGCAGGACCACGGCGTGCAGGAGCAAAGAATTTTCAGTAACCACCAGAGGCTCGCCCTGATGACATCAACTGGTGCCCCACCTTGGTCTGGCGCCCCCACTCACCTGCTCCACCATCCCGCCGTAGCCGATGCCCGCCATGTTCCATGCTCTGCCACCTGCTGCCAACGCCCACCATGTTTCACGCACGCTCCCTGGTGGTCAGCGCTCCTCATAGCGACTGGTTGTTCAGTTGTTCCACCATTCAATCTATTTGCATATTAGGGTTTTATATATATAGACTTTTTTTCTGGTCTTCTTCCTCTAAAGGTAGAGTGAGACAGTTCCATTTGTGGAGGTGTATAGTCACCCAAACATGTTTAGAAATTAAGGTTGAAAAGAAATAATTAGAATTCTTCTCAGGACTCCATGGCTTTGCATGTGCAAACCTTTTTACCCAGAAGACTTTTCTCCATTTGCCAACCCATTTCTTATATGTCTACTTCTGGCTGAAACATCGCCATTTCCATGAAGCCTCTGAACATACCCAGGCATATTTTGGGTCCTCAGTGCACTTTGTTTTTGTCTTCATTATAGAAACCATCATGTCATTTTGTAATTATTTGAATTTTTGTCTTTGAAGTGAAAATTCCTTGAGGTATCTCCAGATAGGGCACAAACCTGACATAGTCGTCTGAGGAAGAACTTTCAGAGACACCAGTGGTCCAGGGAAATGTGAAATGGTGAAATGTATTAAATATGTAATTTTTGTGGGTCATAAGTTACTGTATCTCCTCAAGTGCATATTGTAGGCAGTCAAGACATTTTTGAATGAATTAATGAATGTAGAGGGTAAGGTAAGGTCTGGAAAGTTTTCTTTTGCAAGAGCAGTTGTACATGCATGGTAGCGAGTGGACACCAATTATAGCAGAGGGAGTAGGAGGTTTTGAATTGGAGACCAGTGTAGACAACTATTTCTAGACCTTTGAATGTAAGAGGATACAAAAGATAGGGTCAGGATAATAGCTGAACACATCTCTCCCTGTTGGCCCCTAATATATACTGTTCTATGTGGAATGTTCTTGATGGGAAACTCCTTAGGCCACCTTTTCTCAGTGTAAGAATTCCCAGAAGTACAGCACAAGCCCCATTCCCAAAATGGTGGTTTTTATGTGTGCAGTGGGCACCGGGTAAATCTGATGCAATTGTTCCCTGCACCACACTTTGGGAAGTGCTGCCTTAGGAAGCTCTTGGTGTGTCCTTCTTCCCCATACAGGTGCAGAAGTATCTGGTACCTTTAAAGACTGTCATGATTGGGTGGGGAGGCTTTTGAGTCTTCTCTGTACTTCCTCTTCACTATCCAGCTCTCTGCTGCTGACTTTCCTGGTGGCCACTTCTAGCCATGCTCTCTTCTAAACCTTATTGTCCTCATCGCTCTTCTTTATTTTTAACTTCTGTCTTCTATCTCCTGGCCTTTTACATCACCAGCCAGTGACTGTTTTGCCAGTATGCTGACCAATCACAGGAGAGCTGACATTTGTTCTTGAGCTGTTCTTGGATGTTGTCCTTGTTCTCTCAGCTGTGCTTCAACACTAAAATCTTGGTTTGTCTGCTTCTGGGTTTGAGCTCTTCCAGAGGCCTGATGTTTTCAGAAGGCTGATCTTTGGCTTGACAAAGTTTATAGGAGGATGATGGCATTTAAAGAAATATTTTAAAACTATGTAACCTAAGAATGTTAGGAAACATTTTATGTTACCTAATAACTTTATCTTAGTGGTAATTCTCTGAAGTGTGTAATATTTTAAGAGGTTTCTCAAGGTAGTCTAGTGGTCCTTGAAATAGCCTGAGAAGTATCCCTAAGAAACACATATCAGTCCATATATGGCCTTTGTGCAGAAACTGCCCTTGATGCTCCATTTGTCACAGTCATACGTTTCCTTGGGAGTCTTAATGTTCCAGGTCCTTTTAGTCACAGCTTTGGAATTGATAACATTTGAGTTGCTTAGAATTATGGCCTACATGGGTTTATTACATGTTGCATCTTTTAGGCAGGCCTTAAAAGGTGAACTGTTAGGCATTTCACACTTCTGTGACAGTTTTCTTGGTCTTTTGTATGCAGTCACTGATATATAAGCACAACTGTAAGCTCCTGGCATAACAGAACTTGGCTAGTCTGAGCACAGTTGCAAAGTGGATGACTATGAACATTATTATCGCTTTTCTCTGGAAAGCTAACAGAGAAAAGGGGACAACTGTTCACAGCAGGGAAAATGCAAGTATCCTGGGTGCTCTAAGACAATTTTGAAGCACTGTCTGGGAGCTATGGAAATTGCATCCTGGAATGTAAGGTCTTGAAGGTGGAGGTTTTTTAAAAAAAAACATGTTTGCTAAATGAAGGAAATTTACCAAGTGAATAATTGCACACAGCTACTCATCCATAAAAGAAAAGACTATGACAGTTTAAAAAAACAAATAAATCCATTATCTGTATTGTGCTTACAGCTCTTTGTCATCTGAAGATCTCTTGGGTTACTTTATATGCTGTTATTTTTGCATACCTGTTATGTTAATGTATACCTTGCATCCAAAATTATTCTTTAAAACTTTTGATGTTACTTCATTTTATTATTCTTATGACTCTAATAGGTCTATTAAGTTGGTGCAGTTAGCCATTGCCCTATTTTTGGGAAGAGGATGTTTGCACTTTCACCTATTGTAAATATACAGAGTTGGGTAAAGTTGCTTTACAGTTGTGAATATGGAAACACAGTTTATTCTTATATTAATATTTAGTAATTATTGTATTATTTCCATACAAACAATTGTAAACCTATTTCCACCCTTGAGTTCTATACTTACTGTGTATGTGTATCACCTCTTATATTTTTAATTATTTCCTTAGGATGAATTCCCAATAGCTAGATTGCTATTTCAGAGGGTAGAAACATATTTTCATGGTTTTTGATGTAGGTTGTTAAATTATTTCCCCCCATATTATACAGAGCCATATCTGGTTTCTCTCAGTCTTCTGTAGTAAGTTTCGTTAGGTTAAAAAAAGACTCCCCCCCCTTTTTTTTTTTGCTTGCTAGTTTACCTTATATTGCTTTCATTTCTTTTTATTTGATAACTAGTGGAGCTCTCCTTTTTTTTGTCTGTGTTTGTTTTTTTATATGGTAGGGACAGATACTTATGCATAATTATTTGACTGGCTGCTAGTTCAAAGCAGAAAGTAGTTAAGGGATAGGATCAGTGACCTCTGGCTATAGCCATCTTTGATAAACTCTGGAAAGTTATAGATTAATATAGTAAAAACTTTGATTCACAGAAAATTGTTATCTTTATATATAAAAGGCAAAATGTTCGTCTGTCCGACCAGTAGCTATGACCAGGGGGCAGATGCTCAATGCAGGAGCTGCTATGACGTGCACTGGCCATTTTAAAATAAACAGCATCACGGACGTGGCGCCAACAAACCAACACTCGGCTTCCCCCAAGTGGGTCACAGCCCGCCACCACCCCAGAGCGACACTCCACCAAATTGCAGCCAATGCTGCTAAGACCCCATGGGAAAAAATGCAGCCCCCAGCCCAGCCCAGCCCAGCCCAGAAATGCTGTGGGCGCCGGGTAATAACAGTTTAACCAAATATTTGTGAAGCGTTTTCCTGTGCCTCATCTCATTTGATCCTCACAGAAGTCCTGGAGTAGGTAGATTCGAGACTCGATAGAATCCTATTTTCTTTTCATTAGCAAGCCGTGAATAGAGATATTAAAATATTTCTTCTAATTAATTTCCTTTCAATGTGCATGAGTCCATGCACTGGGACACTAGTGTATGTATGTATATATGTGTGTGTGTGTGTGTATATGTGTGTGTGTGTGTGTGTGTGTGTGTGTGTGTGTATAATGGTTTGGGTTATTCTGCTTAATATACAAAATATTGTTTAATTTTTCTTTAGAGACTCTGTAAAACTTTAAGCCTCTTTAAGGTTTCTTATGCCTCTCCCTCCCCCACCTTTTTGGAGTCTAGTTTGTAGGTATAGAAATTGTGGGGAATTAAACTAAATATTTTATTAACTCCATGCATAAAAGTTGATTTTCTTAAAAAGAAGTAATTAAAAAAATTGAGTCAGGACCTTGTACAGGATATTGGTCGTCTCCTGAAGAAAAATAAAAACTATTGAAAAATTGTAAGAGGATGTTGTATTCTGGATATGCCTGTTTGGTCCCCAGGAGCCATAGGCAGTATAGAGATAGATATTTCACAGGACAAAGACTGTTAATAGCTTTTATAGTGTTAGGGAGCTTTTATAGTCAAAGATGGCTATAGCCAGAGGTCACTGATCCTATCCCTTAACTACTTACCACCGTTACTCTTTTTTGAAATACTGTTAATTATATGTTAAAATATATGTGAATTGAAGAAAAGTAAGAACAGATTCTGGAGATTTGTTATGAAAGTTATTTTAGTTAATGTAGGTGAAAGATGAGGTTCATGGAGAGGAAAGGTAAAATGACTGGGGTGTGGAGAAAGGTTGGAGAAAAAATGATTGAGAGGTATGTTTATAAAATCAACAGAAGATAAGGTGGATGGAAATGTTTTATGTTTAATGTATTTTTTAAAATATAATGTACATTTTATATTTCAGATGAATTTACAACTGATTTTCTGGATTGGACTGATCAGTTCAGTTTGCTATGTGTTTGGCCAAGCAGGTAAATAAAAAATCATATTTGTGTTTTCATTTCAGTATCTTGTATGGCTTTTTGACCAGTTATATTCCAGGGAGACCTAAATCAGATCCTGCTGATCCATTTGAAAGCCGTGCAATATCTCACTCAGAGTAAAAGGCAAGGTCCTTACTATGGCCTGCAAGGCCCCTCACCTTTGCCACCCCGAAAGATGGTAGGCAGGTTAGTAAGTGAAATGCTAAAATGATAGGATACTAGAGGCCCAGTGCACAGATTCTTGCACTGGTAAGGTCCCTCAGCCTGGCCTGCACCCTCTCGCAATCCGGGACTCCTCGAGGAATGTCTGATAGCCTGGTTCAGACCGATCCCCGCAGGCCCGATCCAGACAGGAGGGAGAACGATCATGTGCATTGAGCATCTGTCCCCTGGTGGTCAGTGCACATTATAGCGACCGGTTGACCAGTCGTTCAGTCGCTTAGGCTTTTATATATAGAGATAATACACTGCAGGAAGCCACCTCTTGCCAATACTGTCAGTGCACCAAGGAACTCGGAAGGCTGTTGGACCTTGGGTGTTAGCAGGGCTGATGCTAAGCACCTCGTTTGTTGATACAGTGGTGGCTCAAGGCAATTCCCTAACCTGATAATCCTTTTACTGTTTACCAAACTTTACCTTTGATATGCCTGTATGCATTGCTAAAGGTCAAATGTGTATTCAAGTAAATAAATAGCAGACCAGGCCAGAAGTCGGTGTGTTTCTTCAAGAAAGAGACTCCAACCGGCCCCCAATGCCTTCTAAATTCATATTTCTTGTATAGCATTTTCATTTGTGCATTGGCCCCTCCTTCAGATCTTGAACCCTGCTGCGAAAGTCGCAGCAATACACTACAGAAAAAACTTTTGAGAATGTAATAGAGTGATTTGAGCATAGAAAAAGCAATAACATGTAATATATTTAGAAGAAAAGTGTAGAATGGTAGATTATGAACTATCTATTATGCTCTAAAAAACTGAAACCAGGAACAGTTGACGAGTAGATGTTCCTACTCTTTGATCAAAAAGTCTTGAAAAATGTTGGTGTTGTTAGTAGAGGAGTGGAAAATAAAGACAAAAATGTATTTAATCCTCTTAGAAACCATGGTGCATCCACATCTGAAATAATAGAATGCTGTTCTCCAATTCTAAAAAAATGCACTGTAGAACAGTTATTTTATCTCAGATAGGAAGGTCTTACAACACAGAAAAATGAAAGAAATCATAAAGGAAATATTGATAATTTTGAAATTCATAAAACCAACAACAACATAAAAATCCCAAAATATCTATATGTCAAAACACCATCAACAATAAGAAAATCAAAAAAGGGTTTAATTTTTTTATCATGTGTAGAGATCCAATAAAAACATATGAACATAATAGAAAAATTTGCAAAAGATAGAAAATTTACAAAAGATATGGTCAGTAAAAATATGAAAAAATGAGAGATCTTAAATAATTGACAATGAATTGATATTCTAATTTATACCTATTAAAAGAGTAAAAAAATTTATATTAATTACTTAGTGATGTTGAAAAATTTATATTAATTACTTAGTGCATTAATTAAATACCAGTTAATGAAATGCTATTTGTATATTGCTTGTGAGAATATTAATTCTGGGTAGAAATTAGTGTGTATCAAGGATTTTAAAACCATTAATATTCTTCAACTCAGTATTTTTTTTAAAATCTATGATAAAAAATAGAGTTTTATATTGTAAGAATGGGATCATCTGAGTGGGTGCATCTATGTACATATGTGTTTCAGGGGTTTGTGTGTGCATGTGAGTAAGGATGTGTGAACACAAGTTTTTTCACTAAATAGGGTGCAATATAATGAAATATGCAATTATTAAAAGGCATCATTTTGAAGAATTTATAATGATACTCAGGCTAAAGTATAAGAAGTAGTACACAAAATGTATGTCCTCAATTTCGTTTATATATATTATGCATTCTTGATATTTTTTTATCTATTTATATGAAAAAAGCCTGGAAAGATATATACAAATTGTTAATAGTAGTTATATCTTATGAGCAGATTGTGGTTAATTTTTAGGTTTCTTTTCTTTATGTTTTTATGTATTTTTCAAATTTTCCATAATGAGCATAATCTGAAAAGACACATTGGAGACAGTCCATGTCAGTGTTTACCACATGAAAGGCATGCTGATATTTAGATTAAAGAATTGTAAAACATACTTTGAACACAGAGCCTGATAAGTCATGGGATTTTGGCTTGGATGAATATGAACTTTTCAATTATTTAACATAATAAAAATGAAGGGAAAACTGCTCAGGGTATGGCGATATGACTTAAATGAAGTATGCTTTGCCCATTTGTAAGAAAACTGACAATTATGACCATTCAACCTGATAGATCTGGAATTATGCCTTTGACAAAAAGGATAAATGTGCATCAATAATTGTATGTAGTCCTTGCTATAGAAGACAAGAAAGATAACTGTCTTTTTATGGCTTTGTGTTAAGGTAACCCAGAATCACTTCTCTTTGGGGCCTCTTTAGGGCAGATCTAGATCATAGTATTCATATTTAACGTTCATATATATATTGGATTATTTGTCATTGTGATCCTGATTGTTTATTATTTTCTCTTTTGACATATCAAGTAAAATGGTCTATTCTTTTTTCCCCTGACAGATGAAAATAGATGTTTAAAAGCAAATGCCAAATCATGTGGAGAATGTATACAAGCAGGGCCAAATTGTGGATGGTGTACAAATTCAGTAAGTAAGACGGCACAAATTCTTTCCATTTATTCTCTAGTCATTTAGTGTTACACACAACTGTATCCTTGGAAGAGCTCGATGTGAATTTTCATTTAAAGCAGTGTTTGTTGAATAAGGGTCAACTCTGTGTACAGTATTGTGTGATGGTCTAGAGTTGTGCTGATCAACACCTCATGTGACTTGAACACTTGAAGTATGGGTGGTTCAAATTGAGAATTGCTGTAAGCCTCAAATAAATACCAAAGTTTGAAGATTTACTAGCATTTCAACATTATTAATACTTTTAAAAATCATTATTTTATATATAGCTCACCTTTGTGGAATGTATTATATTTCCATTGGATAGCTGCCCCTAAAACTCTAGCCATTTAATTTGACTATTTTAGGGTTTTCCCTTTTATTGATGGGAGAGGTATAAATTAATCTTTCTAATTATATTTGAGTTAAACTAATATGGAATTGATTTATATCCTAAATGATTTGCAAACTATTGAAGTTAGGGTTTAAATTTTATTCACTTTTGTCATCTCTATTGCTTAACATGGAACCTTCCACAATAGCTTACTGAATGTTGAATGAGGGAATGAATAAACAAACCAATGAATGAATGGATGGATTAGAACAGGAATTGAAGGAAAGTCATTTTGAAAATATATAATTTATTCAGAGTGAATATCAGAAGGTCAAAACTTATTATTTGTTTTTATTCAGTCATTTGACCTCCACATTTCAAGTATCCGTTTTATAGACATAACTGGTCAAATTTGGTTTGACCATATGAAAGACAAAATGAGAGGTTTTTGTTTTGTTATTTCAAAATTTTGGTTACTTTCTGTTCTCCTAAAAATAGTATTCTGGAATTAAATTGGAGACAATGGAGGAAATAGAAAGTGCTGAACTTAATTGCAGTTTCACTTAGAAGGTTCTAAATGAGTGATAGCTACTATCATCAACAGTATCCATTTTATTAGGGTTATAGTTTGTCCGGAGATGACAGTTATCCTACCCAAACTATTTAAGTAGTTTAGCCTTTGATCTTTGTAGCATAATTCTTAAATTATTAAAGGCTATTTTGGAATATGTTTAATGACATTTTACTTACATGTTATGATTTCCGAATTGGCTAATATTTGGAAAGTAATAATATACTAGGTAGTAATTTAAGTTTGATAATACATAAAAACAGTACAACTTTGAACCATCTGATCCATGGCACGTTTTTTCCCCCAGTTGTTTTTCTAATTATTTAAATGCTCTCATTTAGGCTTATATTTCCCTTGAAAAACAACTGATCAAAACCACTGTTTATTTTTTGTATTTAAGTGTTCTAACTATATACAACACCATAAAATTGGTAGATCATAAAATACCATATCAAAGTGAACATAAGTGACCACAAATGAAAGGCATTTTCTCATTTTCCCAATGTTAAGATTTAAAAAATTTTTGACTTACGAAATATAAAATTTTTAGGGATATATGTCAAATATCTATTATAATAATTGATTTAGTTATATGTACACATTTAAAAATCATACACACATACACTCACATTGTTTTTTTTCCCCTCCTCACATTTCATGAAAACGTATTATTCAAAATCTTTTATATACATCTTAAAAGCAGTGTTTTTGTTTTTACTAAGGTACTTCGGTCATCTGATACAATTTTTATTTCCATCTAAGTTGTTGACGTATAACACATTCTGAAATCATGTCACTACTGGGAATTTTGCCCCAAGCCACAAGTACCATTTACATACCATTATGATCTTTTCTATTTTTACAGTTTACCTTGTCGAAATATATTCATAGCCCTTGTCATATAATCACTTATTGTATTGTTTACAGTAATAGCCAATACTTAAAATTGTTTTAAACCTCCAAGAATACTAAATTTGTGCTAAATTTCTTCTTTTGGTTTAAAATGACATCATTAATAAAGAGGCTTTTAAAATAACATGTTTTCTGCAATATATTGTTCAAGGTTATTATGGTGGAGAATGCTACATAATATGAGAGGCTTCTAAGGAATTTTCTTAAGGAAAAATATTTGATATTTGGTTGTATATACATTATTAGTGGATGTTAACCATGCTGAATTAGTGATTTCACTAAATAAATTATTTTATTAGATACTCTGAATTTGCAGGTGGCATAATTAAAATGTACACTTAGATCACTCCTAAGTATTATTAAAATAATAAATTACTAATAATATATTAGTAAAAAGAGTATTACTTTCCAGGGAAATATCCTATATAATAAAAGCCTAATATGCTAAGTGTCTGGTCGTCCGGTCGGCTATTCAGCCAATCAAAGCATAATATGCTAATGATATGCTAAGGCCTCAACTACTCGCTATGACATGCACTGACCATCAGGGGGCAGATGCTTCGACTGGTAGGTTATCTTGCTGCTGGGGTCCAGCTGATCGGGACTGAGCGAGATGGGCTGGACACGCACTGGAGCCCGCCCATGGTCCCTCCCTGGCTGGCCAAACTCCCTCCCGCGTCTCTCTCCGACCCCTCAGGGGATGTCAGAGAGCCAGTTTGGGCTGGATCCCACAGGCCAGGCTGGGGGACCCCATTGGTGCACGAATTCGTGCACCGGGCCTCTACTTTTGTTTATAAACAAGAGCACTTATTATGGATTGGATGAAGGAAACATTTTGTTTAAAAACCAGAAATTAAGTACATTCGATATGTCACTTGATTTGCACAATTTGATTGTGTATTTGCAATTAAGTAAAAGATTTGACCTTTTTATTTATACCTATATTTTATATGTCACTTAGACATTTTTACAAGAAGGAATGCCTACTTCTGCACGATGTGATGATTTAGAAGCCTTAAAAAAGAAGGGTTGTCATCCAGATGATATAGAAAATCCCAGAGGTTCCAAAGATATAAAGAAAAATAAAAATGTAACCAATCGTAGCAAAGGAACTGCAGAGAAGCTCAAACCAGAAGATATTACGCAGATCCAACCACAGCAGCTGGTTTTGCAATTACGATCAGGTAAGAAATCTAATTCTGTGAATACCTTTGTTTCTACTTGAGCTTTTTGACAACAACTTTATATAAGTCTCTTATCAGTTTCTGTTGAGGGTTCATTTTCATATGTGGACTGGCTCTCAAGTAGAAATGTGGAATACATTACATTTTAGACATGTTTTTCCAGACATAACAATTTGTAATACATACTTGAAATAATAATTGTTAAAGATTAAGAAAGTATTAGATTTATTGGGTTTTAAAAATAAAAGTGTTCCTATATGCAGACAGCATTTTAGCCTATATTTTTCCTTTGTATATGTTTAGTATTGTTAAATTATTAAGGTTTTTATCAGAATCTGTAGCAATCTCGTATCTCAACAACAACAAAACACAAGCCCTCTTCCCACTCCTTCCAAGGTCCATCCCCTTTCTCTCAAAAGAGTGGTGCACATTACTTGTGTCCCTGATTTCCACTCCCATTTATTTACTCTTCAACTTGGTGCAGTCAAGCTTTTGCTTCTAAGCCTGTTCTGACAAGGCTCTACCATCACCTTGAACCACCAAGTCTAGTGTACCCTTGTTGTGGGGGGGGCGGGGGGGCTTTTTCTTTTTAACCTTTCTGTTCCAAGTGATGCCTTTGAGCCTTCTGAAATGCTCTTTCTCTTGACTTCTATGATATCACTCGTTTTTCTTAATACTGCTTTCTAATCTCTTTTTTTGTGTCTTTTTGTCTTCCTTTCTTTTTGCAGTCCTCCTAGTTGTAGGCTTTCCTCTTACGGCTTTAAAACCATTTGTATACTGTATACTGTCGCACAGAGTTTTAAGCTTCAAACCCATTTATTGAATTATGTACTAGAAATTTGCATAGAAATAATCTACAAGGTAGTTGTTGTTGTTAATCCATACTCGAGGATATTTTTCATTGATTTTTAGAGCGAGTGAAAGAGAGGGGGAGAAAAAGAAAGAGGAACATTGATGTGAAAGAAACACATTGATTGGTTGCTTCCCACATGTGCCTTGACCAGGGTCAGGGATTGAGCCTGCAACCTTGCTATGTGCCCTTGACCAGAATAGAGCCCTAGACCCACAGGTCAGTGCTCTATCCACCCAAATTGGCTAGGACTACAAGTTAAAATTTTTATGATTTTTTTTTTTTCACTCAAACCTTCTCGTGTATTTTCTAAGTGAATTATACCTGCCACCTCTTACTCTTCTCTCTTCTCCTTCCTCACTGTTTCCATTCAGACTTTCACTGTCTTAGATTTTTGCTGTAGTTTCTTAACAAATCTCTTTGTCTCTGTAAGTCATTTTTAAAACTTTTTACCAGGTTTTCTAAAGTAAAAAAACAGAATTTGTTATTTGCATATAGTAGGATCCCATTAAACAGAGAACAGTCTTGATTTAGAACTTCAAACTCTAAAAAGTCAGGTGTTCCTTATAATGTGCCCTTCTCACCCACCCCAGTCTCATTTATGTTTTTCCATGTACTTGTTTTCCTCTGTGCTAGTTATAAATCAACCATTTTTGTCTGTTTTACTTACTATGGATTTGGGATGTTGTCTTTTTCATCTTGTATCCCCAGGCTCTGGCATTTTAAAAAGATTTGTGAATGAAATTGAATACACACCCATTGTATTACATATGGAATTTTGTGAAAAATACAGCAATAATACATTTCATTTTATGGTGTTTACCTTGTAAATACAGTCTATTTGGTTTTCCTCATTGCTTTTATTGTTAACAAGCTAATTTCATTTTCTAATATCTGTTTAATTAGGGGAGCCTCAAACATTTGCATTAAAATTCAAGAGAGCTGAAGACTATCCCATTGATCTCTACTACCTAATGGACCTTTCTTACTCTATGAAAGATGACTTGGAGAATGTAAAAAGTCTTGGAACAGATCTGATGAATGAAATGAAGAGGATTACTTCGGACTTCCGAATAGGTAGGGATATTGAAAAAATAATTTTCATTTGTATAAATCTTGGCAGTTTTGTTCTTCACCACATGCTTATGAGATAAATAAGGTCAGGTTTTAGCCTTTTCTTTCAGAAAGGACTGATAATTTTGTCACACATCTAATAAGTTTTCTGTTTTCTTATTCCTCTCTTATATATACTACCATGTTATTTAACACAGATTATAGTTATGCCTCATATCCACTGGGTGTTGGTTCCAGGACCCATGCTGATACCAAAATCCAAGGATGCTCAAGTCCTTTATATAAAGAACTAGTGGCCCAGAGCATGAAATTTATGCACATTAAAAGGGGATTAGAGGAAATATTTTAATACTGCTATTTGCCCTTTCTCTATAATAGAAGTGTCAGAGATGAAAGAAAATTAGTAAAATGTATATGAAAAACTTCCTCCTGTCAGAGTCTGGGGCACGCCACGGGACCCAGAGTCTAGTCCCCGCCCACCCGTGGTGCCTCAAAATCACGCAAGACCCAGACCCAGCCAGCCCCACCCCCATTGGGCGAGATCCAGACCCGGCCAGCCCCACCCTTGTCAAGCCCTGCTGGGTAGGGGGTGCAGCCTCAGGGCCCCTGTCAAGCCCTGCCGGATTGGGGAGCACAGCCTCAGGGCCCCTGTCAAGCCCCACAGGGTGGAGGGTGCAGCCTCAGGTCCCCCATCAAGCCCTGCCAGACAGGGGGCGCAGCCTTGGGTCTCCCGTCAAGCCCCACCGGGTGGGGGACGCGGCCTGAGGTCCCCTGGCCCGGGGGGAAGGGGGAGCAGCCTGAGGTCCCCTGACCCAGCACCGGGGCAGGAGGCGCACCTTGAGGGCCCCCATCAAGCCCCACCGGGCGGGGGAAGCGCAGCCTCAGGTCCCCTGCCCCAGCCCAGCGCCATGCAGCCTCAGACCCCTGCTGATTGCTCGTTTACGGGAACTCGATCTCTGCTATGGGTGCAGCCATCTTGTGTTATGGAAACCCCGCCTCCGCTGTGGGCGCCACCATCTTTGTGACAGTGTGATGGTCAATTTGCATATTCCCTCTTTATTAGGATGGTATTTTCATTTAGGCCAACAGCAGGATCTGCCTACTCGTCACCTTATTCACATGAGTTCATCATAGTGCTTGGTGCATGGCAAATTCAAATGTTTGCTTTTTGTAATGTTCTGAGATTTTTAAAAATATTTTTGATCTGCAGTTGGTTGAATCTGCACATGCAAAACCCACGGATGTGGAGGGCTGATATTCTACCAAATGGATAATGAAATGCATGCTTGTGTTTAGGAATTTAGTCATTAATTTGTTGATTTATTTTATGAACATGTTGAGTATTCAGATGCTATTTCATTACTAATTAATATGATTGCACCAGCCAGTATAGCCTACTCTCATTTCAGACCTGGATTTTTCGTATTATAATGATTTCCTTTGAAACCTTATTATTTAAATCTTATTATTTCTTGTAAGGAAAAAGATTGACTTACATGTGGTAACATTCTTGATTTTTTTTTTAATGCAAATTTATCCATTCATCTATCCATCCGTTTCTCTTTATGCATTTTTCTTACACAGGGTTTGGCTCATTTGTGGAGAAGACTGTGATGCCTTACATTAGTACAACACCAGCTAAGCTCAAGAACCCTTGCACAAGTGAACAGAACTGCACCAGCCCATTTAGCTACAAAAATGTGCTCAGTCTTACTGATAAAGGGGGAGTATTTAATGATCTTGTTGGTAAACAGCGCATATCTGGAAATTTGGATTCTCCAGAAGGTGGTTTTGATGCAATCATGCAAGTTGCAGTTTGTGGGGTAAGTGCATTCATTTTCTTTTTTTTTTTTTAATATATTTTATTGATTTTTTACAGAGAGGAAGGGAGAGAGATAGAGAGTTAGAAACATCGATGAGAGAGAAACATCGACCAGCTGCCTCCTGCACATCTCCCACTGGAGATGTGCCCGCAACCCAGGTACATGCCCTTGACCGGAATCGAACCTGGGACCTTTCAGTCCGCAGGCCGACGCTCTATCCACTGAGCCAAACCGGTTTCGGCTCATTTTCTGCAAAGGAATATTATTTGTGTGAATTTTAGTGTGATTTTACTATCAGTTAATGGGAAAAATTATCTTTATTACCATATCATACTCAGTTATTCCAGAGAAGTACAGAATTTAGTCCCTTAAATTTCCTCCAACCGAAAGTGCTTTATATAAGCATATGTAATCATGTCTCTATTTGAACTAGTCACTTAGTTCATTTATACAGGGTTTTAAAAATCCAGAATGCTTACCATTTGAAACAGTTAGGCACTTCAGCTGGTGTTCTAGGTTTTAGAAGAAACGTAGGTATCTTGACTTTCTGGCTTTGTGCCAGAAATAGAATTGAGGTCATCTGAGGTATCACAGTAGCATTAAAAGTGCTCAAATGGATCAGTGTCTCGGGTGTCATTTTCCTTTGATCAACGTTCTGCTTATCATCTTTAAAATATGCCTTTCCCTAGCCCTGGCTGGTGTGGCTCAGTTTGTTAGAGTGTTGTCCCATGCACCAAAGGGTCGCAGTTCAATTCTCTGTTAGGGCACATACCCAGCTTGCAGGTTCGATCTTCAGTCAGAGCATGTATGGGAGGTAACCAATTGATGTTTCTCTCTCACACTGACCTTTCTCCTAATTTGTAAGCCGAGAACATAATATTTTGAGAAGACATAATATTTGTAATTTTTTAAAAAATATACTTTTATTGATTTCTGAGAGGAAGGGAAAGGGAGAGAGAGATAGAAACATCAATGATGAGAGAGAATCATTGATCGGCTGCCTCCTGCACGCCCGCTATTGGGGATCGAGACTGAAACCTGGGCATGTGCCCTGGACCAGAGTTGAACCCGGGACCCTTCAGTCAGCAGGCCAACGCTCTTTTCACTGAGGCAAACTGGCTAGGGCTGAGATTTTAATTATAAGATTTTCAGTAGTAGCATTATACTAGTGATTAGAATTTTATGATCCATTTACTAGCTGAAGCTTTTGGGATGACCTTATAGTGAGGTACTTGAAGCTGAAATTAGAAAACACTGTGAGGTAGATAATGTACAGCATAATAGTTAGACTAGTCATGTACTTTACAGAGTGATCCCTGATATTTCAAGGATCCATACATAGTTGTTACAATATTATTGACTATATTCCCTATGCTTAATTTATATCTCTGTGACTATTCTGTAACTACCAATTTGTACTTCTTAATCCCTTTACCTTTTCCACCCAATCCCCCAACTTTCTTCCCTTCTGTCAACCATCAGTATGTTCTCTGTATCTATGAGTCTGTTTCTGTTTTGTTTATTTGTATATTTTGTTCTTTAGATTCCACATGTTAGTGAAATCATTGGTATTTGTCTTTCTCTATCTGACTTATTTCATTTAGTATAATATCCGCTAGGTCCATTCATGAGATTTCATTCTTTTTTATGTCCCAGTAGTATTCCATTGTGTATGCACCACAGCTTTTTTATCCACTTGTCTATTGATAGGCACTTGGGTAATGTTTGTCTTAAGTACCTACTATTGTATCATTCCTCCCCTTTTTTTTCTTGTAGTACTCCTATTCCCTAGAAGTCCCTCCTTGATTCCAGATGTTTCTTACTGGTTACTTTTCAAACAATTTTTGCTAGGGTGCTAATGATATCTAAGATAATAATATAATATAACACCATGGTATAGTGATTAAGAGAGCAGTCTTTGGACTATTAGAACATGACTTCAAATTTTTCCGTCACTACTGATCTCAGGGAATTTACTTAGCCATTCTAGAGGGTTGTTTCCTTTTCCTTAAGAAAGGATAATAATAGATATACCTCATTAGGCATATTATGAAATTTAAATATAGTAATCCATCTAAAGTGCCACTAAGCACTCAGCAGAAAATTAACTAATATATTATTGTTACTTTTGACATCTCTCTGGGTAGTTGCAATTTAAAGGTAGCCTGCTTTTAAAGGGAAAGAAAGAGTAATCTAGGTAGTGCCTAGCCTGACAACTTTTTTTTCCAGCCATTCATTTGTGATCCTGTTAGCAGCTCACTGGTGAGAGAGAGCATTCTCTGGGCTACCTCTGACTTTGCCTCAGCTTGTGGGATTAAAGCAAGCCATAATATTCATGGCCACTACTATCTTTCTGATTGTTACGCTAACTGAGAGTAACTGTTCACTCACTATAGATGCAATAGAGACATATGTTCCACTGAGTTGCCAGCATTAATAAACTTAATTTCTGCCTTCAAGGAATTTACAGTCTTATGAGGACATAAATAGATGTATTCAGTAAATTTAGACAAACATAATTACAGAATTACTGAGAGAGAAAAAGATTTTACGACTACATTAAATTCTTTGTGGAAAATAAAATAAACGAATAAGTAAATAGTATTGATGTGTTAGAATGATGGAATTAAGCAGGGCAAGTCTTTGGAGATTTTTTTGTTTCTGTGCTTAAAAGAGGAAGGCCTAATATGGAGGGCCCTAAAGGAGGTATATGCTGTAGAAGATAGAGCAAGGATAGAGGATGGAAGGGAACAAGACAGCATCAGAAAGGTAAAGATATGGGCTGAGCCTGTTGGGCAGGGCTCAGTAAGCATCGACCTACGAACCAGGAGGTCACAGTTCAATTCCCAGTCAGGTTACACGCCCAGCTTGTGGGCTCCATTTCCAGTGGGGGCAGAGGGGATGCAGGAGACAGCCAATCAATGATTCTCTCTCATCATTGATGTTGTTTCTCTCCCCCTCTCCCTTCCTCTCTGAAATCAATAAAATATATATATTTTTTAAGAAAACACGGGCTGAGACATTTTTATTTACCTAGCAAACACATGATGTGAAGCATGTACTGTGTGCTAACCACTGTGCTAGCTGCTACAGATAGGAAGATAAGCAAAACCAGATGTGGGCCCTGTCACACATAGAGTTAGTTTGCTTACCTCCTAGTGGGAGTAAGACATTGATTTTAAAAGATACAGTTTTTAAAACAGAGCTGAGATAAATGGGCAACCAGGCAAAATATAGTTTTACAGTGGGATAGAGGAGCTTTATTCAATGGGTTCTATGTATTTATCACAAGAATAGTTTTAGCATTGTGCAAAGAGAGGGTAAAGAAAGATACAGAATAAGGTTAAAAATACAATGGTAGCATATATGAATTATTGTGAGTAGTATTTTAGAATTTTAATCCTTTTCTTTTTAAGTCATTGATTGGCTGGAGGAATGTTACACGGCTGCTGGTATTTTCTACGGATGCTGGGTTTCACTTTGCTGGAGATGGGAAACTTGGTGGCATTGTTTTACCAAATGATGGACAGTGTCACCTGGAAAATGATATGTACACAATGAGCCATTATTATGTAAGTGCTTAATTCCTTACACATTGAGTGGAATCATGTTGATTTTAGTGTTTAACACTAAGAGAAGTGTGGGTGACAGGCTTGTGGGTTTTTCCGGTGTTAACATAAGAAACATTCAAACCTGTGAAGAATTTTTGTGAGTTTATTTGGGCCAAACTGTCAACAGTTGGTAGGAAGCAAAGTCTCAACAGATTGAGATAATGCTCTGGAGAATGGCAGTTTTGTACCTTATTTTATGCATTACACTGAAAAGAGGAGACTTAAGTAGGTTACATGAAATCCATTGGTGATAGATTAGGGAAGTGGGAGAAAGCAAAGCAGGATACCTCTGGGATTGGATAAAAAGTAAAATGATAGACACACACTTCTTTTACTTAGGTGGATATAGGATAGTTAACAGTCAACAATTAACTCAATAACAGGGGATTTGTGGTCTTCACAGAACAATACCTGTGGTTTGAGGGGTCCAGAAAAAGGAAAATTACTTAGACATTCCAAAGATATGTTATCATAGATGCAAAAAGACAGTAAGCTCAGTTAAAGTAAAGATTGACCTTTGTCAGGGAAGATATCGCCTAGGACATGACTACCCTCCATAAACCGCTTTTAGTTAAAAAGCTTTAATTTCAGACCATCCTATGTGGTTACTTTAGGTCTCTGAGTTTGTAAGGCTGCCATGTAGTCCTCTCCTGAGCTTGTCAGGTTTACTCTATGGCCTCTTTTTGTCCATAAGGGTTTGGGTTTTGTTATTTTGGCAAGTATGGGTCCTGACCTAATATTTCAGGAAAGCTAGTATTGCTGTTTCTATAGATGTGGCTTTGTGCTTGCTTCCTTGCACTTAGGGCCTCAGTAGGGTGAAAGGAGCTACTTAGACACATTTTCTCCATGCCTGGACAATGGCTGCTTCTCCTTTCACTTGTATGCATCGCTTGTTAGCAAATGTGATATTATTTATAAACAAATAATATAGTCTTAACATTCCTTATCTTATTTACATGTGAGTTTTACAAATAGGCACCTTGCTTCTATTAAAAATAAAGATTGGCCAATTATTTAGTCTGGAAGAAATTTAAACCTTGGTGAATCTTGGTCTTTTTCTTAAGTGACAGATAATACAATCTTTAATTACTGGCAATTCTTTAATTTATTTGTTCTGACATTTAATATACATAGAAAATATTGTTTTATAAAACCTTTTTATTATGGAAATTTTGATACATAAAGAGAGAAGAGTAGAAACACATAACACCATCCACTTCAACACACTGCTTGTGTTATTTCAAGCAGTCTTCTGTGAGTGATCCAATTATATATGCAATTTGATTTTCAAAAATGACTTAAAAATGTATTGATTGGATGTAATTACATACTAAATTTTATTACTTAATTTCTTAGGATTATCCTTCTATCGCTCACCTTGTCCAGAAATTAAGTGAAAATAACATTCAGACAATTTTTGCAGTTACTGAAGAATTTCAGCCCGTTTACAAGGTAAATATATATGTGAGATAAAAAGAACATCAAACTTCTAGACCACGTTATTTAGGTACTGGCATTTAAAAATAAGTATTCAGTAGTTACTTGTTGAATGGATATATTTGCATTTTATGTGCTTATCTTTTAATTGCAGGAGCTGAAAAATTTGATCCCTAAGTCAGCAGTAGGAACATTATCTGCAAATTCCAGCAATGTAATTCAGTTGATCATTGATGCATACAATGTGAGTACATTTTAAATAAGATCTATTTGGACAGTACCCTATTGAGAGGACTGTGCTCAAAGGAATAAAACTCCCTTCATACACAATATAGCAAAACACAGAGGACAACATAAAGTTTAAATTCCATAATATATCTGGAGGAAAATCTCACATTCTCTTAAAAAAGTATAATTTAAATATATGTATGACAACTATTTTAAAAGGATTTATAAGATTTCCCCCCCACACACATGGAAGGAAGTTGAATTGAAATTAAAGAGGAATTATTTGCTCTGTCTAGAGCTTAATCAGAGTACCTTTAGTGATATTCATTAAGTATTGGTTACAAATGCCTTCAGATTACTTAAAATGATTACTATAAACCAATACTTAATGATCATTTAAGTAATCTGAAGGCATTTGTAACATTACGGTAACCATTGTGTGCTGCATACATTATCTCTACTCCTCTTCTTCCCTTGACAGATTGAATTTTAGATATTTTTAAAATATATTTTTTTAGTTCATGTCAGGGGTTCCCAAAATGTTTTAGGAAGACCCTACTCAAAAAGGGAAGTTTTTACAAAGTTTTTCAAGATTCTAGTTGTTTCATATCTTGCCTATAGTTCTCCATCTTAACAGCATAAATTCCCATTCGTGTAGGTGTGTGTACAAGCTATAGCCTTTTGCATTTGTCCTGAGCAGTCTCATATTCTAATAAATCACTGGTTTGAATACTTCTTACTTGGAGCTATTGGTGTGTGTTTGTTTGTTGTTGTTTTGTGTGTTTTTTTGTTTGTTTGTTTGTTTTTGGCCAGGGGTACCATAATTTCTAAGGAAATTTGTTCTCAGACTGTGTAGTAGATTGTTTACCTTAGTCCCATGTTAGATGAAGTCATAGGGCCATATTGGCAACGGGGTAAGAAAATTATGAGGAGTCCTCATAATATCAGGTTTCTATGCTATATGATCATTAACATTTTGACTTAGTAATTAAAGCAAAAATATTTTTACTTTTCAATCATGTACATTATTTTGAAGAATTGGTCCTTATTAATTAGAGCCTGTTTCTCTAGGTTCTGTGTTTTCTAAGCACCCAGGATTTGGCTTTAAACATTTTATTTAAATTACTAGAGGCCTGGTGCATGGATTCGTGCACCAGTGGGGTCCCTCGGCCTGGCCTGTGGGATTGGGCCAAAACCAGCTCTCCAACATCCCCTGAGTGGTCCCGGATTGTGAGAGGGCACAGGCCAAGCCGAGGGACCCCACCAGTGCACATTCAGGGCTGGAGAGGGATGCAGGAGGTTGGCCAGCCCGGGAGGGACTGTGGAAGGGCTCCAGGGCATATCTGGCCCATCTCGCTCAGTCCCTATCAGCCAGATCCCAGCAGCAAGTTAACCTATTGGTTGGAATGTCTGCCCCCTGGTAGTCAGTGCACGTCATAGCGACTGGTCAACTAGTCGACTGTCTGCCCTCTAGTGGTCAGTGCATGTCATAGCGAGCAGTTGAGCGGCCTTAGCATATCATTAGCATATTATGGTTTGGTTGAACGGACGACCAGACACTTAGCATATTAGGCTTTTATTATATAGGATACTGTTTTCTTAATGGGCCCATTGGTTTTATGCATTCAACTTATAGTAGCATTTTGTTTGCCTTTCCTATGTGTAATTAGTCTTTGTTTTAGTCCCTTTCCTCAGAAGTAATTTTGGAAAACAGCAAATTGCCAGAAGGAGTAACAATAAATTATAAATCTTACTGCAAAAATGGGGTGAATGGAACAGGGGAAAATGGAAGAAAATGCTCCAATATTTCCATTGGAGATGAGGTAGGTTGTATAAACATTTTCTGAAGAAAAGAAAAATATTGCTGTTTTATATAAGCAATCTAGTTTGTAATTTGAGAATAAAAGAAATGAGGAGCTTTTTAAAATATTTTTTAGTATATTTAAATTGCTTAGTTGTTAACTTAAAACTTAATTTTGTTTTCTTCCCTTTAAGGTTCAATTTGAAATTAGCATAACTTCAAATAAATGTCCAAATAAGAATTCTGAAACCATTAAAATTAAACCTCTGGGCTTCACTGAAGAAGTAGAGATTATTCTTCAGTTCATCTGTGAGTGTGACTGCCAAAGTGAAGGCATCCCTAGCAGTCCAAAGTGTCACGAAGGGAATGGAACGTTTGAGTGTGGAGCTTGCAGGTAAGCTGGAAGTGGTTGGAGAAGGACACAGAGAAGTATTGATTGTGTTGGAAACATATAGGCAGGCTATGTTTTGGGACATCCAGAAAAAATCTCTCTATATGGAACAAATAAATGTTTTGTTCCAATCACTGTTGCTTACCACAAGATTAGTTTTATGATCTTGTGTGTACTATTTATAGAAAGTTCTTCCTTGTCTGTTTTCTTAAGACTGCTCTTTAAAATAAAAGCTTTTATAGCCATCCAAGATGTATTTATAACAAACTTTTAAGGTAGCATTTGGATTTTTCTCTCATAATAGCAATCTGAGTTTTCTAGAGCAAAATAAGCTTATATAAATATGTTTATAAAGATGCTTTGGAAAAATATACCAAATTTATAATGGTGATTTTATCTGGGAAATGGAATTAGAAAGCAGTAAAGGATGTTCACATTGTACTGCATATACTTCTGCGTTGTTGGAATAATTTTTAAAAAATGAATACATTTTGGCCCTAGTTGGTTTGGCTCAGTGGATAGAGCATCAGCCTATGGACTGAAGGGTCCCGGGTTTGATTCTTATCAAGGGCATGTACTACACCTAAGTTGCAGGCTCGATCCCCAGCTCTGGTCAGGGCACATGCAGGAGGCAACCAATCAATGTGTCTGTCTCACATCGATATTTCTCTCTCTCTGTCTCTCCCCCTCCCTTCCACTCTCTCTAAAAATCAGTGGAAAAATATCCTTGGGTGAGGATTAACAACAACAACAAAATAAGTAAATGAAAGGATACATTTTGCAAAATTAAAAAGAAAATAGTATTTCAGAACTTAGAATCAAATTAACTTTAATCATATTATTTTAAAATTTATTTTTACACTCAGGTTACTTTTTAATTAAAAATTAAAATTAAAAAGTCATAGGAGGAAGGGACAGTATTTTGATTAAATGTCAACCCCAAATGGGCTCATAAGGGTTTTAATCACAAGAAAAATAAATAAATTTATTTCATTATCAGTTATTAACTATCAATTTTAAATAGCAATTAAAATGTTACATTTTTATTTTTCATGTACGTATCATGAGACATATAGACCCATTTTCAGTAAAATATTTAACTAAAAAAATTATCTTGAAAATGTTTTGCCTTCCTTCCCTTTATATTTACCAGATACAGAATTAGTGTAGTCAGTGTCTATAAGCATTGTGTTTAAAAATATACAGTGTGTCTGAAAAGTCTGGACCCATAGGATATATTTATTTTTAAACAGTATGTTAAAGTGATAAGCTCAGTGTTTTTCTTCAACTTCCATGCACTTTTATAGTGTGTTTATTGTACTTTTTTAGATTAACAATTGCAGTGTAACTTTAAATTTAGAGTTACTTCACCTATAATAGCAAATGTAATAGGGTATCATTTGAAAACATACCCTTTAAAAATAAATTTATCCTGTTCCTATATGTTTTATTCACCTGTTAATTGCTAGATTATATTTTCATTTTAGTTAAAATGGTTACTCTCCTGAAGAAAGGTTTTTTCCTAGACCCTGCATCTGAACTTGAATGGCTGGTATGTGTGCATATGTGCACTTTTGGGTACACAAGCACTCCCATGTAATATAATTGTAGCTTAAAGATAGTGTTCACAGTCTTATTTCCTCTCCCATTGTTTCTCACAGCTTAACTTGTTTTGTTATTTCTTTTATGTAATTGAAATTTTGGACTCTTTCTTTAGGTGCAATGAGGGACGTGTTGGCAGACATTGTGAATGTAGCACAGATGAAGTTAACAGTGAAGATATGGATGCCTATTGCAGGAAAGAAAACAGTTCAGAAATCTGTAGTAACAACGGAGAGTGTGTCTGTGGACAGTGTGTTTGTAGGAAGAGGGATAATACAAATGAAATTTATTCTGGCAAATTCTGCGAGTGTGATAATTTCAACTGTGATAGATCCAATGGCTTAATTTGTGGAGGTGAGAAAAGGGGTCAGAAAAATGGTTATAAAATGGGATCCCCATCTAATACAATAAAAATGTTCAAGTATGCTTGGTGAATAAATAAAAAAGGACAGCATTGAGAATCAGTTCATCCTTTACATATACTTTCTTTCGCATTATTGCTTATTTTTACTTTTAAATCAATGCTCTGATTTTTATATTTTACCGTTGTTAAGAGAAATGATATTTTTAATTTCAGGAAATGGTGTTTGCAAGTGTCGTGTGTGTGAATGTAATCCCAACTACACAGGCAGTGCGTGTGACTGCTCTCTGGACACGACTTCATGCATGGCCACAAACGGACAGATCTGCAATGGCCGGGGCGTCTGTGAGTGTGGTGCCTGTAAATGCACGGATCCCAAGTTTCAAGGGCCAACTTGTGAGATGTGTCAGACCTGCCTTGGCGTCTGTGCTGAGCATAAGTAAGTATTCTTAATTACTTGAAATAGTTGATATTTACTGTTTGTTACCCTGTTATCACTAAATCCAGAACAGTACCTATAGTAACTTACACTGTAAACAAAGTATCTGCCACACAGAAGACAGTCTTTAAATCTTAAATATTCTTTCTCAATAGCTAGTGTTTGTCACATGATGTTGAAATGTGTCATCTGAGGGTGGTACTGTTATTTTGTTTTTTTGTTTTTTGTTTTTTTTTAAAATATATTTTTATTGATTTTTCACAGAGAGGAAGGGAGAGAGATAGAGAGCCAGAAACATCGATGAGAGAGAAACATCGATCAGCTGCCTCCTGCACATCCCCCACTGGGGATGTGCCCGCAACCAAGGTACATGCCCTTGACCGGAATCGAACCTGGGACCCTTCAGTCCGCAGGCCGATGCTCTATCCACCGAGCCAAACCGGTTCCGGCAGGTACTGTTATTTTGATCTGAATTTGCTATAAATCAAATCCACGTGGTGACTGTTGATAAGTTAGCTTTACCAATTGCTTAATTACCATCTTTTGACTAAGCACAATTGAAGGTTTTGCCCTTGAAGAACTGTTATTGTATCAACACATAGTTTAAGTTCCTTTGGTTTTATGTTATATATTTAATATCCGATAGGGCTAGTTTTATTTTTCTATTTTATTTCTTTTCGGCATTTTAGTTTGAACTGTAATTATAGTTTCACTTGGGAAACTGGCATCTTTATATTTAGTTTCTCATTGAGAAATGTTATATGCCTCTTCATTTATTCAAATCTTTCATAGCTCTTGATTTAATTTGGTCAGATTTTGAATCTAGCTCACAAAATAATCTTTAAGCAAATATTTTAAGTAATAAAGGTTAAATGTAACAATTTATGTTTTAACAGAGAATGTGTTCAGTGCAGAGCCTTCAATAAAGGAGAAAAGAAAGACACATGTGCACAGGAATGTTCCCATTTTAACATTACCAAGGTTGAAAGTCGGGACAAATTACCCCAGCCAGGCCAGGTGGATCCCCTGTCCCACTGTAAGGAGAAGGATGTTGACGATTGCTGGTTCTATTTCACATATTCAGTGAATGGGAACAATGAGGCCATTGTACACGTTGTAGAGACTCCAGGTAGAAATCTGATCATTTCAAAATGCCTTTCATTTTCTTTTATGTCTTGTTTTTACTACGTAGGCTTATTGTAAGTTTCTCTAATATCCAGGAATGGCTTCCACCTTTATTATTTTAGGTTCAAGTTGGGACATTTTTTTATCTCAAAGTTTAAACAGTATTTAATTAACTATATAAGAAATGAGGAAAAGAGAAGGCAAGTTTTAAGTTTTATGAGTGAAGAGTTTGAAGATTAAGTGCAATAATCCACATTGGCACAATGCTTGTCACTTAGGGCACTTAGTAGGTACTCAATAAGAGTTATCTCATTATTGATGATATCTAACTTTGAGCTGGAAATAGAATGGGACACTGGAAAAGATAATTTGTTAAGGGATATTATAAAGTATGAGTTTGTTCAGCTTCTCAGAAGATAAGATATTTCTTGGTGTTTCTATACACTTAAAAAATATTTGTTTTTTTGTGGGAATATAAGTTTCCATTTCTCTTGGATAAATATTAGGAATGGACTTGGGGGACATATGTATATGTTTATAAGGAGGAGCCAAACTGGTTTTAAAAGTCTGTACTATCTTGCCCTTTCATATTTGTGTTTTGTAGTAGTATCTCCCAGTCTTTCCCTCCTTGTCTTCTCATTTTGTTTAACAGGGGTTTTTTTTGTTTGTTTTTAAGACCAGAAGCTTTAATTTTAATTGAACTACAATTTACCAAGTTTTTGTTTTATGTATCTTGCTTTTGTTATTTAATCTGAGAACTCAAGTTGATAAGAACTTTTCTCTTGTGTTTTCTTCTAGAAGTTTTGTAGCTTTGCCTTTTCATTTTGGTCTATACCCCTTTTGAGTTAATCTTATTATATGGAGTGAGGTTTTAGTTTTTTGCATATGAATGTCCAGTAGTTCTAGCACCATTTGTAGAAAAGACTGACCTTTCTTAACCTTTGTTAAAAATGAAATAACTTTAGATGTGTGGGCCTATTTCTGACTATATTCCAGTCTATGCAACTGTCTTTTAGCTAATGTTACACTGTCTCAGTTACTGTCGCTTTATACTACTCTTGAAGTCTGGTATTGTGAGTTGTCCAACTTCGTTCTTTTCCAAAAGTGAATGTAGATTATCCCAAAGAATCTATTAAAAAGGCTCTAGAACTAACAAGTGAGCTGACAAGAGTTTTTGTAACACTTTCCTAGTTCTCTGCCTTTTTTGTAAATTTTAGAGGTAACTTGCTGATCCTATATAATAAAAGGCTAATATGCAAATTGTCCCCTGAAGACCAGGGGGCTGGCCAACAGCCTGCGGCCCCTCCCCCTCGCTGGCCCTGCCCCCTACCAGCCCTTCACCCCGATTGGGGGCGGGGCTAGTCAGCCAACCACCTTCAGCCCCTCCCTGCTGCCTGCCTGGCCCAATCTGTCCCAACAGGGTGGGCCGGCCGGATCCCGCCCATGCACGAATTCATTCACCGGGCCTCTAGTCCTATATAATAAAAGGCTAATATGCAAATAAACCGAATGGCAGAATGACCAGTTGCTATGGTGGTCAGTGTGCTCCCATAGGCAGAGCGCCGCTCAACCAAAAGTCGGGCTCATGGCTGGCGAGTGCAGCGGGGATGGCGGGAACCTCTCCTGCCTCTGTGGCAGCGCTAAGCCGTCAGATATCCCCTGAGGGCTCCTGGACTGAGAAAGGGTGCAGGCCGGGCTGAGGGACTCTCCACCTCCCCTGAGTGCATGAATTTCTTGCACCGGGCCTCTAATATCTATATAAGCACTGCCAGGATTTTGATTGGGATTGCATTGATCAAATTAGAGGAAAATTGGTATTTTAACAATGTTGTGTCTTCCAATCCATGAACATGGAATAATTTCTTTCATCAGTGTTTAGTAATTTTTAGCAAATGCAAATGTTGCACACATTTTGTTGGATTTATGACTTTTAAAGCTATTGTAGAGGATACTATTCTAAAATTCAATTTCTGATTTTTAAAAATAAATTTCTATATAACATACAGAAACACATAATGATTTGTTGTTTATTAATCATGTATCCTGGGGCCTTGTCAACTCACTTGTTAGTTCTAGAGTCTTTTTTATAGATTCTTTGGGATAATCTGCATTCACTTATCTTTTTATAGGAGACTGCCCAGTTCTTTGTAGTTTTGGCTGTATTCTACACACATTAATTCCTGGTGTACTCAGTCTTTTTTTCATACTTTATAGAGTGTCCCACTGGTCCAGACATCATTCCAATTGTAGCTGGTGTGGTTGCTGGAATTGTTCTGATTGGTCTTGCATTGCTGCTAATTTGGAAGCTTTTAATGATAATTCACGACAGAAGGGAATTTGCCAAATTTGAAAAGGAAAAAATGAATGCCAAATGGGACACGGTAAGTTGCAAAACATCTAAAAAGTAAAGTCAGTCATAAAGTAAGTGTAATACTTCTGAGATTTGTTTATTAAAACTAAAACTGATTATTAAAGTCCTCACTAAGTGTTTTATTCCTCCGTAAGTTCATTATTCAGAGAACTTATATTTAGTGAAAAAACAAAACATCTTAAATATATTCCATTAAAATAAAATACTGTAAAAATGTATCTTCTGGTTACTGTGGTCATTATTTTTACTTCCTTAATAATTTTGGTCTTAAATCTACTATTCTGTCTTTTTATCTCATGTAAATTAGAATCCTATACAATAGAAAGACCTTTCTCTCTCTCTTTTTTTATTTTTCAACAAAGAACCTTAAGTAGAAAGCAGCCAGACTCAAAAGGCTGTTTACTGTGTGATTCTATTTACATGACATTCTGGAAAAGGCAAAACTATAGGGGCAGAGAGCAGATCTGTGTTTTCCAGGGGTTAGAGTAGGGGTAAGGGTCATGAGGGATCTTCTTGGGATGACCTTAATTGTGGGTATGTTTATGCATTTGAGAATTAATGAACCTGTACTTAAGAAGAGATAAATTTACCCTCTGCAAATTATAACTCAATAAACCTTGCTTTATAAAAATTTTTGAAAGCTGTTAGTGGCTGAAAGTTTGTGCTAGTGTTGGCTTTGAAATTTGGAGTCGGAGGTGGGGTGGCCAGATGTTGGCACTTGTGTATTTGTCTTTTGATAAAGGAAGGCTATGACATTTTTCAGTATTTTTAAATTATAAATGAATTTTAGTCATTTGCATTATAGTACAATTTGCTGGGGTTTTTAAAAAAATAATTTCAGAAGTATAAAAATAGTAAAGTTAGTAAAATAGTAAAAATTCTCCTTTATAGTGTTTAAACACACATGTCAATTTTTTTCTGAGAAATCATTAGAAACTATTTCTTTTACTTTAGCAAGAAAATCCGATTTACAAGAGTCCTATTAATAATTTCAAGAATCCAAACTATGGACATAAAGCTGGTCTCTAAGTTGCCGTTCGTATTTTCTTTCATTTTCTGTCTTTGCATGTGAACTTTTATTCTTTTTGATTGCACTGTGTGTCCTTTATCACTATTGCTATTTTTTTAAAAGTCTGTCTTTATTTATATGACTATATTACGGCTTTTTTGTGTGTGTGTATTAATTTAGAGTTAGTGTTTAGAAGGGCTTTAAATAATGGGCTAGAAGCAGCAGCTGTGTTGTGAAAAGAGAATGTGCTTTGTGGTCAGACTGACTTAGGGTGAAATCCCAGCTCTTCCACTGAGTAAGTAGAATAGCTGTGAGTCCCTCACTTTCTAGCACTTTAGTTTTTCATATCTTTAACAAGAAGTCAATAATAATGTCTATTGTGTAATATGATTGTTTTTGGCTGATATGATATCAGCATGTCAGTTATAATCCTCATTACAGACCAATACTTTGGAAGGGATTATTTATCATATGCATGTTTTAGGGTAAAATAGTGAAAAATGACTGTGATATCTAAATTGGAAAATAGAAAAAAATGAACGTAACCTGGTATAACATTGTTGGTTCTAGAACTATTTTGAGATTCTTTATTCTTGATTGTAAATTGAAATTCTATTAATAACCAGAAGACCTTCTATTTATATAGGTCTTATATGTGTATATATTTCTTGTTAACTTTTGAATGAGTCTAATATTTAAATCTAACATTGAACTTTAAAAAAAACTAACAAAGACTTTAAAGAGAAAAAGTCCTATTACAGTTTTAACTACAACTTAGTGGAAAATTTTATAGTTACAATAAGCCTTGCTTATCCTCTAAGCTAGGGCCATTTATTTTGATGAGTCTATGTTATACCTGGATGACAAATTAATTGTTGTCTCTTATCAGTAGTGGACAGGATTCTTCCTTATGTCTGAATTTTCATGAAATGCTTCTAACATAAAACTCTGTGATAAAAACATTGTGATTAGAATAGATTCTCCTGACTGGTTATCCAGAAATCTTCTTTTCTTTCCCATCTATTTTTATTTCACATGTGAGAAAACCAAGGCACAAGAAGGATTAGGTAACTTGACCCAGGTTCATGTCTGGTTAATGGAAGAGCTGAGATTCAAACCCAGGCATTTGGGGTCTAGGTCATGGTATCCACTACATTGCACTGGTAGCAATCACATACTCTTCAGGAGATTATTACCTGGTTAAGAAGAGGTAGATCACTCTTTATAGAGAATTATTAAGCTTTATTTTATTTTATTTTATTAGAATTATTAAGCTTTTTGACGTTTGTTGTAACTTAGGGTAAGCACTTGATTATATGGAAACCACACTGTAGTTTTGCTTATAAAATAAAAATAAGTAAGATATTAATATAGAAATGTTTAATACTTTTAAACATATTGGAAGTATCAATAATAAAAACCATTACTAGTCTGATTTTTCTTTTATTTCAAAGCAGATTTTAAAACTTTTGAAATGGCAAAGTTAAATTTGATGGCAGGAAATTATAGTCAGATTCATATATGGACAGGTTGGTCCATTTTCATATTAGTCTGATACTTGTCACATTATTTTTCTTATCTAATACTTCCAGAAAGTCATTTTTAGAAGAAAACTGTTGCTTAGATTCCTCCCCTCCCTCCCTCCCTCCCTCCCTTCCTTCCTTCCTTCCTTCCTTGCTTGCTTCCTGCCTACCTTCCTTCCTTCCTTACTTCGTTCCTCCCTTCTTGTGTTAAGTCAAAAAACAGCAAAATATTGACAATTTCATATGGTTACTTCTCATAGAAGAGAAAATTCTATATGTCCTGCTGAAAGGTGTAATTTTCACCTTTGCTGTATGTTAAATTGTACTTTGAAGAAAATTATCAATATTAGTGAAACTTAATATCTCTATTGCTAACTTAACTTCTGGCTAAAATGTTATTTTTTTCAGCCAAAGTAAAAATAGAAATTAAAATAAGTCAAGGCTTATAAAGAACGTTTCTGATATGGGACCAAAGTTTGCTAATCAATTACGTCATTAATGTATTTTGGATAATGGGCAGCCACTGTAATTATTTTAGCACATAAGACTAATGTAGGGACATTAGAAAAATCAAATTATTAACTTTATAATTGTTAAAATGGATTCAAAAATTGTCTAGTCTGTCTTCCTCTGGTGTTAATGTAAATGCATTCCTAATGGTCCACAGTTGTGCATTGTAAATCTAATATATTTTATAGGGATGATTCTGTAGCTGCCCCTGTCAGCTATTCTAGAGTGAGCACAAAGATGAAATTTTACTGAATATAACCCTATTCTTTTGATTTAAATAGGCCTTGCATTTTTTGGAGGATAGGGGTGGGGTTGCATTCTGAACAGTGAAAACTAATCTGAATTATTTAGTTTACTTCTATTTAAAATGATGCCTAATGTAGATTAGTTTCAGTTTACCTCTAACCTTGCATGTTGAATTTTTGTTTGAATGGACTTTGAAATAATAAGTATAAATGTTTGTGTTTATGAAAAGGCACACTTTTCTCCAAAGGTAAGGTCTACTATATAAATTGTATTTTGGGCTCATCAGTAATAACAAGTGTTTTTTCCTCTTTTGTTTCCCGGGTTTGTTTGTTTGTTTGTTTGTTTTTTGTACCTCCTTTACAATTCTTAAGTATTAAATATTTGATTTATCTAATGCACTTATTTTAAATTAGAGGCCCGGTGCACCAGTGGGGTCCCTTGGCCTGGTTATGGGATTGGGCCAAAACCGGCTCTCTGACATCCCCCGAGGGGTCCTGGTTTGTGAGAGGGTGCAGGCCAGGCCAAGGGACCCACCAGTGCATGATCGGGGCCGGGGAGGGATGCGGGAGGTTGGCCAGCCAGGGAGGGACCACGGGGGGCTCCAGGGCATGTCCGGCCTGTCTTGCTCAATCTTGATTTACCGGACTCTAGCAGCAAGCTAACCTACCAGTCGGAGTGTCTGCCTCCTGATGGTCAGTGCACATCATAGCAACTGGTTGACCAGTGGACTGTCTGCCCCCTGGTGGTCAATGCACATCATAGCAAGCGGTTGAGCGGCCTTAGCATATCATTAGCATATTATGGTTTGATTGGTTGAACGGACGAGGACACTTAGCATATTAGGCTTTTATTATATAGGATAAACTTAAGTAAATGGTCACTTATTTTCCCAGCATATTTGAAAGAATGGGTAGTATTACATGCAGATAGGAAGATAAGTGTAACTTATTTGTGCTTTATAACTTGTTAAGAATATAGTTGCGAGGTTCCAATTTCCTGTCTCCATTGTGAAATGTTCGTTGTAATTTTCTCTGATAGAGAATTATTTGCCTGTATTTCTCAGCTTTCAAGCCTATTTCAGTTTATAAGAACAGGAGAAAAAAGAATGCTTTCTATAGCAGATATTTGAATGTATCAGATAGCATGAGACTTTTTAAAGAAAATGGTAGTGTGAAATTGTACATTATTTTCCTTTTTATTTTTCTTAACCTGAGCTGCCCTGGCCATCATGAATATTTTTCTTTTACTTTTTTTTGTTTTTTTGTTTTGTTTTGTTTTTACATTTTTTTCTTAGTTATTTTTCCACTTAAAACATCACTCAACATATTTTTGGATCTTGAAAGATCTTTTGTATTTATGGCTTCGACTTTTTTACTAGACTTAATTTCAGTACTCCTTATTAAAATATACTGTTGCAATAAAACTAAGACACTTCACCAGTACAATATTGAAGAAGAATAATTATTTTCTGAGAAATGGTAATTATGTTTGTTAACATTCTAAGCAAATTTGGCAATGTGGTGACTTGGTTGGAGGCTCAGCACCCTCAGTGACACTGACAGCCTTACCCCAGAACTCTCTAAATCAGTAACACTTTTGGAATAACCTCAGGAGAACAATTTCCTTTCTCACAAAAATTAAAGCCAACGATTCCTGTAAATTGTCAAGCACCTTTTGTGCACAATAAAGGGTTAAGAATTAGGCTGTTGATGGCAAAAGAGTTAATTCTTTCTTTAAAAAGGCATTCAAAACTACTAAAAGAGAAACCATAACAGCACATTCTCTGCTATGGAGGACATTCTCCAATCAACTCTCCAGTACAGAATGGACTCAGGAATGAAATAATGCCAGTTCCTAGGTGCACCTTTAGACCTGTAGAGCAAAGCTTTCACTTTTCGTATTTGTGTAAACTTTTATTTGTACCCTTTTAAAAATTTTCATGTGATATCTGGATCAATAAAATGGAAATGACTTTTGAAAATGACCTTATATTGACCTTATAGCTTATATTGTTTTATAAAATAATATTACATGATTTTAGTAGAGTAACTGATCATTTTTCTCATTTTTTTTTTTTTTAGGGTGAAAATCCTATTTATAAGAGTGCTGTGACAACTGTTGTCAATCCGAAGTATGAGGGAAAATGAGCACTACCTATACCAATTTTACAACATTGAATGCAAAATAGTGAATTTCATAGTCACAGAGGAAGATAGCTTTAGGGCACTGTCCCCATGGGTTTTACTTGTGTAGGTTTTGAAAATGTATAATATGTATAATTAAAAAATGTTTTTTGTTATTTTGAAAATAATATTATAATCAATGCCAGGGACTGACATAATACTTGAGACAGGATGGTTATCCTTGTCAGCTAAGGTCACTTCGTGCCTTTTTTTACCTTTTCTTCCTGGACTATTGAAATCAAGCTCTTGTTTGATTAAGTGATATTTCTAGAATGACTGAAAGGACAGTAGTTAAAGTAGTGAGTATGCTGAGAGTTTCTTTTAATCAAGTATTCAAACTGATTTTTAGCTTTATAGATATGTCATTTTCAGTTATTAAAAAAAATCCAAAGTAATCGTCTTACTAGCTGGCTTAGAAATTGTTTTAAATTTATTTTGCTATTTTCCTAGACATGATTGATGACATATCTGAAAGATGAATGAATATATTAGGAGTTAGTTGTGTAAAATAGTTTTGAAATATTTGATATGCAAAGGCCATGGGAAAATGTCAGTTAGGAAGGGAAAAACAGCTTGAAAAGCTGTGTGCCATTTTAAGAATTACTTAATTCTTGGAACTTTTCATGCCTTCTCTATAAATTCAAGCCTTGGATAAAAGTATTGGGAAATTTTCTGCAAAAAGTTCTTAATTTATCATTATTTACCTAAAGGCCTTAAATTACATAGTATTTTTTGAATTGGCAACTTTTGGGTTATGTTATTTTGTTTAAAGCCTGGTGCTTTTTATCACCACTTCTAATCATTTAACGTATTTACAATTTTGAAGTAAGACGTTTTTTAATTAGTACTTTAATTAGTAGCTGTAAATTTGCCTTTTTAATGAACAGGTGAAGTTGTACTGTGGTTTAAGCAACAGCTATCACTGTGCCAGGCATGCTTTCAGTTAGTTAGTGCTGTATAACAGGCCACTGTACATTACTCCTCACTGTTTGAGTTGACCATTTTGTTTCATACTGGTCACATTCTTATTTTAAGTGCCTTTTAATTTTAACAGTTCACTTTTTACAATGCTGTTTACTGAAGTTATTTATTAAATAAAAATGCATAAAATAACAAATTGGGTATTTTCATTCTATATTGATATATTTTGTTAGTTTGTTTGCATGGGTTAAGAAGGTTTTTAGGTTAAAATGGTTGATGTAAAAGATTTCTGGTTAATGGGTATTTTACTTAAAAAGCTAAAACAGCCCTGGCCAGGTGGCTCAGTTGGTTGGAGTGTCATCCCATACATCAAAATGTTGTGGGTTCAGTTCATGGTCAGGGCACATATCTAGGTTGCCGGTTTGATTCCTGGTTGGGGCACATATGGGAGGCATACCCTCACATCAATGTTTCCCTCTCTCACCCTTCCTCTCTCTCTAAAAATCAATAAAAACATATCTTCGGGTGAGATTTAAAAAACAAAAGAGCTAAAACATAGTTCTTAAAAAAAAAAAGGAAAGATGTGCTAGAGACAAAAGTTTTAACAGAGAATCAAATTCCTCCCTTGATCATGGAAGTGGAGTCTTATAATATCTTTAGAAAAAGAATTTTCTAAGATTCACACAGGAGAATGAATAGGTTTTATTGGCATGGAATTATATTTCTTGGGTTATGAATTCTCATGGCCCTTCAACCAGTCCTGAAAAAGGTGCTGCTGGGGTTCCAGTAGAGCCAAAAGGAACCCAAAAGTGTCACTTTCATGTTGGAGCTTGGTCAAGTACATTCAGTCCAGATTCTGTCCATTGTGTGGGTCACACATGGCTGTGAGTCACGAGCCACATGGGAGAATGCTGGGGAGTGTGCCCCTACAACAGGAGTCACAGAAGCACAGGCAAACAGGAGAGGCAAGAGCCAAGAGAGCCAGAAGTGAATTCCCTTTGTTCAGAAGTTTAAATATTCAGGTTTTATATTTAACCTGCAGTGGTTATGCCTATTCTGGCCAATTACCTGTTCCCAAGTGTGATTGATGGGAAAGCACCTTCCTCCATCACTTAGACCTTACTGGGCATGTGTCCAGTCTGCCTTTGTCCAGTACCTTCTCCAGTGATCAGTGGGGATCAGACTTGGAGAGTGAAATTAGCAAAGCTGAATAAATGGCATGCTTATATTATCTAGTCTTCCCTTTAATCCTTTCCTGTTAAATAATTAGATTATTATAACTACCAATAATTAATATGGAAAAATAGATTTTAAGACTATCTTTGAGCCCTCTAAATAATATTGGATAAATCTTCATCTCCCTCTTCTCTTCCCCCACCTACAGTAGTATACTAGGACAGCGGTTGCAGACCTTTTGCACCTCACGAACCAACCACCAGTGGTCGCCAACCTTTCAGACTTCATGAACCACCAGTGGTCCACGGACCACCGGTTGGCAACCACTGTACTAGAAGATATGTTTGATTAGATATAACCTATGAAGTGATCACCCAGATAGATCTAGTACCCATCTGATACCATATATAGTTATTACAATACTAGAGGCCCGGTGCATGAAATTTGTGCACTGAGTTGGGGGGATCCCTCAGCCTGGCCTGCCCCTTCTCACAGTCTGGGAGCCTCAGGGGATGGCCTATAAAGGGCTTAGGCTGCAGTCTGGGCTCCCTCTGCCAGAAGCGACCGGCTGATCAGGGAAAGGCACCACCCCCATCGCTCCTTCGCTGCTGCTGCTGCCTCTGGCCTCCCTCTGCAGGAGGCGATCCGGTGATCAGGGGAAGGCGATGCCTCTGCTGCTGCCACTGTCAGCCGCGAGGCTGCCTAAGCCTTGGCCTTCGCAGCCAATGCGGCTTGCCTGAGCCTCACCCGGCCCTCATTGCCTGAGCCTCGGGCCCTTGTAGCGGTAGCGGCCATCAGCGGCTTGCCTGAGCCCCAGACCGGCCCTGGGCAATCGGCAGCTTGTCTGAGCCCCAAGCTGGCCCTAAGCAAGTGGCAGCGGCCATTGGCCGCGAGCTTCCCCAGTGATGGACAGACCACGTCTTCCAGGGTTCTCCTGTCTGCAGGGGAGGGTGCAGGGCTCCCTCTGGCCCTGGGTCACTGGGTCTGGCTACTAGAGGAAATTCCCTACACTGGTTGCCCGGACACCTGGAGGCCTCCAGATTCCCCACCCTGACCTGAGGGGCGTTGAGGGGCGGTGGAGGTGGCCTGGGAGTTTGAGGAGCCGCTATAAGGCGTTGCCTTTCTCAGAACCCCTGACCCAGAGGCCAAGGTGAGGCGTGGCCGGGCGGGAGCTCTTTGCTCACCTGCTTTCACTGCTGGGCTTTCCCTTGCTCACCTACCTTCGCTTCTGGGCTTTCCCTTGCTCACCTGCCTTTGCTGCAGTGCGGAGGTTTCCCAGCAGAGCGGCTCTGCTGCCACTTGGCAGGAGGAACCTGTGGTCCTTCTGGGCAAGCGGCAGCGGCCATCAGGAGCGCTCACAGCTGCCGCTGCCATGTGGGGAGTACAGGCCACCCTCCACCAGACCCTGCCACCCCCGTCCCTGATGCTGCAGGTCTCTGCCCACCTGCCCCTGCTGTGCGTGCAGCCTGCTGATGGGTCATTATGTGACAGCATCCTGACCAATTTGCATATTACCCTATTATTAGATAGATTATTGACTACTAGAGGCCCATTTTACGAATTTGTGCACAGGTGGGGTCCCTTGGCCTGGCTGGTGATCGGGACCAATCGGGGCTGTCTCGCCCAGTACCAATCAGTGCCGATGGGGGCCGGCTGGTTGGGGAGGGACCGCGGGAGGTTGGCCAGGCGGTGGGAGGGCTCCAGGGCATGTCCAGCCCTCTCGCCCAGTCCAAATCGGCCGGACCCCAGTGGCAAGCTAACCTACTGCCCCCTGATGGTCAGTGCACGTCATAGCAACTGGTCAGGCGGTCGACCAAATGGTCAACTGTTCAGTCAGACACTTAACATATTATGCTTTTATTATATAGTACTAGTAGCCCGGTGCACGAAATTCGTGCACTGGGGTAGGGCGGGGGGAGAAGGGGCCCCTCAGTCTGGCTTTCACCCTCTCCAATCTGAGACCCCTCAGGGAATGTCTAACTACCTGTTTGTGCCCACACTTTTAACAGATAACAGCTCCATTGTTGTTCCTTTCTTATGCTTAAAACCATTGGAATTAGTAGGTATTCAAAGTGTATACATTTTGGGGGGACACCCTGTATATCTCTAGTCAGTGGTGAAAGAAACCAACAGCAGATTTGGAACCCCCAGACAGGGAACCTTGCTCACTCCCCACATGTCTCCCCATTTCACTTTCCACCTTTGTGGGCAGCAGGAGAATCAACGTATCCTCTCATTCATTCGGAAAAGCACGTCCTGTCACCCGCTGCCCGCCAGGAGTGCGCTAGGCCCCAAGCAAGCAAGGCTCAGTCAGGGCAGCCTTCACTCTTGGGTGCTGGCACCCAAAGTGCACATTCCTCCACTACAGTCGCCCCGACTATCCCACTGTTTCACTGAGAGGACGGAATTCCTCTCCGCCTCTGGGTTCTTGATCTTGAACGCTGACCGAAGGCACCTCAGAGAGGGCCGCCCGCGCCCACCAGGTGTGTCTATCTGCACCTGCTCCTGCCTCAGCACCTGCATTAACCCCCCAGAGGTGATCTCGTAGCTGCACTGGCCTCCTTGGGAACAGGGCATCATTACTCCGCCCTCTCACTGTCATCTCACAGGCACCCACCCTCAGCACCCAGAACACCCAGACACTCTCCAAAGGACATGAGCGCATCAGAGGGGATGTGTGCACATCCTGTGGGGGTGTTAGGCATGCTGGGTTGATGGAAGTGTGGTGGAGAGGCGGGGGGAACTTGTGCACGCCTTGGTTTGCAACTGTTGCAGGTGTGGGAGGGTGACAGTGTGCTGGGGGATGTTCGCATGCCACGGGGGGATGTGCACACTGGAGGCCTCTGGCTTTGCAGATCCGCAAACCCCCGTGGTGCAGCCAGGAGGACGTCAGTCTGGCCCGCCACGGTGGCTGTCCCTGCGATCCTGCACCTTCTGGGCCAGGAGGCGGATCTTGCGCAGCCACTCCTGGGTGCTGATGGCCTGCAGGCTCTACTTCAGCTCAGCCTGCAGGCTCCGCTTGGCATGCTCACAGCTGTCACCACCGCCATGTGGGGAGTACAGGCTGCCCTCTGCTGGCCTGCCTCCCCTGTCCAGAGGCTCTCTGCGCTGCTCACCTGCACAGATTGACTGGGGCTGGGCAGAAGCCAGGCGTCCTGCCCTGCCCAACCCCGGCCGATCCGCCCCTGTGCGAGCTGCCTCCCCGCCGTGAAGGGTCACCGATCCAGGTCCCGGGACCGTGGACAGCCTCAAGCACTGCCGCCCCGCCCCGCCAGATCACGGATCTGGGTCCCAGACCATGGACAGCCTCAAGTGCTGCCCCCCCGCCCAGCAGAGTCACAGATCCGGGTCCTGGGACAGCGGACAGCCTCAAGCGCTGCCCCCCGCCCGGCAGGGTCACAGATCCAGGTCCCAGACCACAGACATCCTCAAGCGCTGTCCCCCGCCCGGCAGGGTCACAGATCCGGGTCCCGGGACAGTGGACAGCCTCCTGCGGTGCCCCCCGCTGGGCAGGATCACAGATCTGGGTCCCAGACTGCAGACAGCCTCCCGCGGTGCCCCTCGCCCCGCAGGGTCACAGATCCAGGTCACGGGACAGCGAACAGCCTCCCGCGCTGCCCCCCACCCGCCAGGTCACGGATCTGGGTCCCGGACCGAGGACAGTCTCAAGCGCTGCCGCCCCCCCTGGCAGGGTCACAGATCTGGGTCCCAGGACCGCGGACAGCCTTGCCCGCTGCCGCCTGCCTTCAGTATGCAAATTAGCCGCCATCTTGTTGCTTCAGGGTGGGGGTCCCCACTGGGATGCCTGGCCAGCCTGGGTGAGGGGATGATGGCTATTTGCAGCTGGTCACACCCCCTTCAGGGTGGGGGTCCCCACTGGGGTGCCTGGCCAGTCTGGGTGAGGGGCTGAGGGCCGTTTTCAGGCTGGCGGGTGACTGAAGCTCCCAACCTCTCCTTTATTTCTTTTTTTCTTTTATTCTGGGATTTATTTAACTTCTACGGCTGTCACTGGAGCTGAGA